AACGCCAGAAGGAATTCCTGAGACCTTAGTTGGTTGCAGTAGTACACAAACGTTGTGATGTGGCAATGGATTGCAAAGTACACTTTATTGTAAACTAACTTCACTGTACAAGATCACAATGTTGACCGTGTCACAACTCTTAACCCGAGCCAATTTCCCTGATTGGCATACCAAATCCTTTTCATGCAGTGCCATACTGCGAAATGAAATATAACAAGGTGTTTCCAATGAAACAGCCTGCAAAAACTGTAGAAGCCTCAACCAACTACAACACACTCACCCTCATACCCGTGTCATACACCGGCACCTCCATTAGTGTAGCACTGACCACCAGAGTAGAAGCACCCACCCACTACTACACACTCACCCTCATACCCATGTCATACACCGGCATCGCCATTAGTTTAGCACTGACCACCAGAGTAGAAGCACCAACCCACTACTACACACGCACCCTCATACCCGTGTCATACACCCGCATCGCCATAAGTGTAGCACTGACCACAAGAGTAGAAGCACCAACCCACTACTACACACTCACCCTCATACCCGTGTCATACATCGGCACCGCCATAAATGTAGCACTCACCACCAGAATAGAAGCACCAACCCACTACTACACACGCACCCTCATACCCGTGTCATACACCGGCACCTCCATTAGTGTAGCACTGACCACAAGCGTAGAAGCACCAACCCACTACTACACACTCACCCTCATACCCATGTCATACACCGGCATCGCCATAAGTGTAGCACTCACCACCAGAGTAGAAGCACCCACCCACTACTACACACTCACCCTCATACCCGTGTCATACACCGGCATCGCCGTAAGTGTAGCACTGACCACCAGAGTAGAAGCACCAACCCACTTCTACACACTCACCCTCATACCCGTGTCATACAATGGCATCGCCATAAGTTTAGCACTGACCACCAGAGTAGAAGCACCAACCCACTACTACACACTCACCCTCATACCCGTGTCATACAATGGCATCGCCATAAGTGTAGCACTGACCACCAGAGTAGAAGCACCCACCCACCACTACACACTCACCCTCATACCCATGTCATACACCGGCACTGGCCACCAGTGTAGAATCCTTCGGTCTGGTGACACACAACCTGGCAGCCTGGTCAGACATTAAAAGCAGACAAACCAGTGATAGAAGTCTTTCATTCAGGGACACATGGGGGGACGTTGCCATGAATGAGTGATTGTGTTCACGTGTGCAGTGAGTGAGTGAAGTGTAATCAGTGTTACTGGTGTCAGTAGGTATTGCCCAAATCAGTGAATGATAGCATGAGCAACACCATCCGTATCACATACAACCCCAAGGGAGGGAGTCAGCACGATTTTTCCGTATTTCGGCTTAATCTGACATCGGCTGAACACTTTCAAGTCAAACCCGGGTCACGACCAAACCCAGGACCAAATACCTTACTCACCATGCAAAAAAGAAACCATGTTGCTCGATTTGTAATATTATCATATTTATTCATCAAATAGTATACACCCAAGCGGAACTACAACAGATGAAAATAGATAAAAATTTGTGTATTTTGTGTGAGAATGAACCTGAAAATAAGAAACATGTCTGTAAACAGTGATTATAACTTCATGAAAAACCTCGTTCTGGCTGCTTAACTATAAAATTAATATATACCAAGTATTTAAAGCAGTAGTTACACCGATAAGCATTTCTAAAAATTACTTTGGATGTTACACAAGTAGAAAGTTATGTGACCAGAAAAAACAGCTGTTTTGCAAACTTCGAGGGAAAATGGACACTACAATTTCTTCAAATATTAGAAATGATTTAACTTGTACCATGACATTCAGTCCAACATGTTCTTGAAACGTGAACCTCATTGTATGATTTATGCTGTATACTGAGATGAATGAAAAAATTACACATAAAAATGTGTATAAGTTTTCGCATTGATTTTAGAAACTTGATTTAACTTGCACCAGGTGTATGTTTAATGATAAATCAAGTTCCGTCAAACAAAACCACGTTGCACCCTCGTCCCATGAAATTATAAAATAGGACGGTCTGCTACCAATATCACAGTGTGTGTGTGTGTGTGTGTGCGTGCGTGCGTGCGTCCATGCGTGCTTGCGTGCGTGTGTGTGTTGAAGGTTGCAACTACACTACATTCACACTGTATTCTGTACATTACACCAGGGAATCTATAGCAGCTAGACGAACATCTTGAAGGTTGCAACTACACTACATTCACACTATAGTCTGCACATTACACCAGGGAGTCTATAGAAGCTAGACGAAAATGTTGAAGGTTGCAACTACACTACATTCACACTATAGTCTGTACATTACACCAGGGAGTCTATAGAAACTAGACGAACATGTTGAAGGTTGCAACTACACGACATTCACACAATGTTCTGTACATTACACCAGGGAGTCTATAGACGCTAGACGAACATGTTGAAGGTTGCAACTACACTACATTCACACTATATTCTGTACATTACAGCAGGGAGTCTATAGAAGCTAGACGAACATGTTGAAGGTTGCAACTACACTACATTCACACTATAGTCTGTACATTACACCAGGGAGTCTATAGAAACTAGACGAACATGTTGAAGGTTGCAACTAAACTTCATTCACACTATTGTCTGTACATTACATCAGGGAGTCTATAGCAGCTAGACGGACATGTTGAAGGTTGCGACTACACTACATTCACACTATAGTCTGTACATTACATCAGGGAGTCTATAGCAGCTAGACGGACATGTTGAAGGTTACAACTCACTACATTCACTATAGTCTGTACATTACATCAGGGAGTCTATAGCAGCTAGAGGGACATGTTGAAGGTTGCAACTACACTACATTCACACTATATTCTGTACATTACGCCAGGGAGTCTATAGAAACTAGACGAACATGTTGAAGGTTGCAACTACACTTCATTCACACTATAGTCTGTACATTACATCAGGGAGTCTATAGCAGGTAGACGAACATGTTGAAGGTTGCAACTACACGACATTCACATTATATTCTGTACATTACACCAAAGTGTCTATAAGCTAGACGAACATGTTCAAGGTTGCAACTACACTACATTCACACTATATTCTGTACATTACATCAGGAAGTCCATAGAAGCTAGTCGAGCATGTTGAAGGTTGTAACTACACTACATTCACACTATATTCTGCACATTACACCCGGGAGTCTATAGAAGCTAGACAAACATGTTGAAGGTTGCAACTACACTACATTCACACTATATTCTGCACATTACACCAGGGAGTCTATAGAAGCTAGATGAACATGTTGAAGGTTGCAACTACACTACATTCACACTATATTCTGAACATTACACCAGGGAGTCAAAAGAAGCTAAACGGACATGTTGAAGGTTGCAACTACACTACATTCACACTATATTCTCTACATTACACCCGGGAGTCTATAGCAGCTAGACGAACATCTTGAAGGTTGCAACTACACTACATTCACACTATATTCTGTACATTACATCAGGGAGTCTATAGAAGATAGACGAACATGTTGAAGGTTGCAACTACACTACATTCACACTATATTCTGTACATTACACCAGGGCGTTTATACAAGCTAGACGAACATGTTGAAGGTTGCAACTACACTACATTCACAGTATATTCTGTACATTACACAAGGGATCCTATGGAAGCTAGACGAACATCTTGAAGGTTGCGACTACACTACATTCAAACTATAGTCTGTACATTACACCAAGGAGTTTATAGCAGCTAGACGGACATGTTGAAGGTTGCAACTACACTACATTCACACTATAGTCTGTACATTACACCCGGGAGTCTATAGAAGCTAGACGAACATCTTGAAGGTTGCAACTACACTACATTCACACTATAGTCTGTACATTACACCAGGGAGTCTATGGAAGCTAGACGAGCATGTTGAAGGTTGCAACTACACTACATTCACACTATAGTCTGTACATTACATCAGGGAGTCTCTAGAAGCTAGACGAACATGTTGAAGGTTGCAACTACACTACATTCACACTATATTCTGTACATTACACCAGGGAGTCAATAGAAGCTAGACGAGCATGTTGAAGGTTGCAACTACACTACATTCACACTATAGTCTGTACATTACACCAGGGAGTCTATAGAAGCTACACGAGCTTGTTGAAGGTTGCAACTACACTACATTCACACAATAGTCTGTACATTACATCAGGGAGTCTATAGAAGCTAGTCGAACATGTTGAAGGTTGCAACTACACTACATTCACACTATATTCTGCACATTACACCAGGGAGTCTATAGAAGCTAGTCGAGCATGTTGAAGGTTGCAACAACACTACATTCACACTATAGTCTGTACATTACACCCTGGAGCCTATAGAAGCTAGACAAGCATGTTGAAGGTTGCAACTTCATTACATTCACACTAAATTCTGTACATTACACAAGGGAGTCTATAGAAGCTACACGAACATGTTGAAGGTTGCAACTACACTACATTCACACTATATTCTTTACATTACACCAGGGAGTCTATAGCAGCTAGAAGAACATGTTGAAGGTTTCAACTACACTACATTCACACTATATTCCTCTATATTACATCAGGGAGTCTATAGAAGCTAGACGAACATGTTGAAGGTTTCAACTACACTACAATCACACTATATTCGGTACATTACACCAGGGAGTCTATAGAAGCTAGACGAACATGTTGAAGGTTGCAACTACACTACATTCACACTATATTCCCTACTTTACACTAGGGAGTCTATAGAAGCTAGACGAACATGTTGAAGGTTGCAACTACACTACATTCACTCTATATTCTGTACATTACACCAGGGAGTCTATAGAAGCTAGAAGAACATGTTGAAGGTTTCAACTACACTACATTCACACTATATTCTGTACATTACACCAGGGAGTCTATAGAAGCTAGACGAACATGTTGAAGGTTGCAACTACACTACATTCACACTATATTCCTCTATATTACATCAGGGAGTCTATAGAAGCTAGACGGACATTTTGAAGGTTGCAACTGCACTACATTCACACTATATTCTGTACATTACACCCGAGAGTCTATCAGCTAGACGAACTTGTTGAAGGTTGCAACTACACTACATTCACACTATATTCTGTACATTACACCAGGGAGTCTATAGAAGCTAGACGAACATGTTGAAGGCTGCAACTACACTACATTCACACTATTGTCTGTACATTACACCAGGGAGTCTTTAGAAGCTAGACGAACATGTTGAAGGCTGCAACTACACTACTTTTACAATATATTCTGTACATTATACCAGGGAGTCTGTAGAAGCTAGACGAACATGTTGAAGGTTGCAACTACACTACATTCACACTATATTCTGTACATTACATCAGGGAGTCTATAGAAGCTAGACGGACATGTTGAAGTACATCTGTAGATCCCCTCACTGCTGCTTTTGAAGTGGTGTGTCACCTGCATTATTCTGTATATTCACATCAGCTCCAGCCTTCAGTAATACATCAATACAATCTGTAGATCCCCTCACTGCTGCTTTATGAAGTGGCGTGTCACCTGTATTATTCTGTACATTCACATCAGCCCCGGCAATCAGTAACCCTTCAACACCCTCTGTAGATCCCCACCCTGCTCCTGCTGCTGCTGCATGAAGTGGTGTGTCACCTGTATTATTCTGTACATTCACATCAGCCCCGGACAACAGTAACATTTCAACATAGTCTGCAGATCCCCACCATGCTGCTGCTGCTGCTGCTGCATGAAGTGGCGTGTCACCTGTATTATTCTGTACATTCACATTAACCCCGGCCTTCAGTAACACTTCAACAGACTCCCCAGATCCCCACCCTTCTTCTGCTGCTGCTGCATGAAGTGGCGTGTCACCTCTATTATTCTGTACATTCACATCAGCCCCAGCCTTCAGTAACTCTTCAACAAACTCTGCAGTTCCCCACCCTGCTGCTGCTGCTGCTGCATGAAGTGGCGTGTCACCTGTAGTATTCTGTACATTCACATCAGCCCCAGCCTTCAGTAACGCTTCAACACAGTTTGTAGATTCCCTTACTGCTGCATTATGAGGTTCCGTGTCACCTGTAGTATTCTGTACATTCACATCAGCCCCGGCCTTCAGTAACTCTTCAACATTCTCTGTAGATTCCCTCACTACTGCATTATGAAGTGGCGTGTCACCTGTAGTATTCTGTACATTCACATCAGCCCCGGCCTTCAGTAACTCTTCAACATTCTCTGTAGATTCCCTCACTACTGCATTATGAAGTGGCGTGTCACCTGTAGTATTCTGTACATTCACATCAGCCCCGGCCTTCAGTAACTCTTCAACACACTCTGTAGATCCAAACAATGCTGCTGCATGAAGTGGTGTGTCACCTGTATTATTCTGTACATTCACATCAGCCCCGGCCTTCAGTAATTCTTCAACATTCTCTGTACAATCCCTCACTGCTGCATTAAGAAGTGGCGTGTCACCTGTAGAATTCTGTACATTCACATCAGCCCGAGCCTTCAGTAACTCTTCAACATTCTCTGTAGATCCCCACACTGCTGCATTATGAAGTGGCGTGTCACCTGTATTATTCTGTACATTCACATCAGCCCCGGCCTTCAGTAACACTTCAAGCCAGTTAGTAGATTCCCACCTTGCTGCTGCTGCTGCTTTATGAAGAGGCGTGTCATCTGTATTGTTCTGTACATTCACATCAGCCCGAGCCTTCAGTAACACTTCAACACAGTTTATAAATCCCCATCTTGCTGCTGTTGCTGCTGTGTGAAGTGGCGTGTCACCTGTATTGTTCTGTACATTCATATCAGCCCCAGCCTTCAGTAACTCTTCAACACACTCTGTAGATCTAAAGAATTCATCTGCTGCTGTATGAAGTGGTGTGTCACCTGTATTATTCTGTACATTCACATCAGCCTCGGCCTTCAGTAAGACATTGACACACACTGTATGTCCCTCATATGCTGCTATATGAAGTGGTGAGTCACCTGTATCAGATGAAAGTTGATTCACACTTGCTCCTTTCGCCAGCAGAAATGACATAACATCTGAGTGTCGTCTACATGAGCTGTGAAGAGGAGTTTCTCCATTAGATGACATCATGTCAACAGTAGCACCCTTCTCAAATAACATTTTGACCATAGTCAAGTTCCCCACCTCACAAGCACTGTTTACAACATCACCATCAACCTGTGCTCCTCTGTCTAAAAGAAAGTCTAGCATGTCCTTGTTCTGGCTCATAGAAGCAAATCTAAGACCTTTCTGGTTATCCAGATCAAATCCTGTTTTCACCAGCAGTTTCACCACCCCTAAGTGACCATTTTGTATGGCAAGGTACAAATCGTCACCATTTACACGATGCACATTGACATCCACACCCGTGTTAATTGCTTTTTCCACGGCTGATGTAAGGCCATACTTGCAAAGGTAATGAAAGACAGTATCTCCTAGTTTATTGCATGCATTCAGGTCAGGGGCAAGGGCCAGAATCTGATCGACAAACTCACTGTTTTTGGTTTCTGCTGCTAACATGATCGGAGTTACATTAAGCCGACCATATCTAGCATCCATGTCAAGCTTCATGTGTTCACTGATGTAGGTCAATACACTACAAGCAGCATTCTTGCACACCCCAAGTAAAATGTCACGCATTTCACTTTGGCTGAATGATATGTTTTCTTTCTCCATAATAAATTTGATTAGATGATGTGACTTGTTGCTTGAAAGCAATTTCAAAAATGAATGTGACTCGTCTCTTATAACGTATTGTCTTGAAGAATTATCAACTAGTTTCAGAAGATCAGGAACAGACATGTGACAGTTTGTCTTCAGACAGTCCATGAGCAAGTCAATAAACTCTGAATTACAACATGCCTGGTGCGATAAGACATGCAACAAATTGCCTCTCTCAGTATCAGTTGCAAATCTTCTGGCTAAATGTCGAGCAAAGGTCCATGAGATGTTTGCAACAAGACCGGTCTCACTAGGAACACTTTCCCTTTGTCTTGTGGATGGTTTAAGACGAAGTCGCTGATGGATGAATGACAAACTACAATTTTCGATGACAAACTTTGATTGTTTTGTACTGAGTATTAAAGCAACACTGTCATATATAGAGGGATGGTCAAACATGTATGTGTCATCTTCCTTCATGAGGTAGGATCCAACCAAATCATCAGCAGCTGTTATGCTTTCATACGCAAGATTATCATCCTCCTCCAACTCCTGTCCACTAACCTTCCCATCTCTTTTAATCATAGCCATGAACAGTGAACGCTTTATCTTATCCTTAAGAAATTTATCCAAAGTCTTTTTGAGGAACACAAGAGGTATTTTAAAAAAATCTAAAACAGTCTCTGCTGAAGGTTGCGTCTGATCCTTTCCATATGTCGCGACAAACATTTTACATACATGGGGAAAGCCGTGTGGACAGTCAGCCTGACATATCTGAGACACAGTTGACTCATCAAAGTCCATCTTTGTCTTTGTTTTGACATGAACATGCCAAATCTTCCTTCGTTCATAAGAGTCTCTCTGAGAAGGAACTTCCACCACATAGAGGGGACTAGATATGTAATCTGCCATCTTTCCCAAGTCTGCCAATGAGGATTTCAGCACATAATCACGGCCTACGAGGATAATGATAGTATATTTTTTGTTAGGCGCTGTTCTTTTCAGCTGTGTTTGCTCATCTTTTGTTCTCTTTATACCATTTTCAATATTAGTGGATACGTCTTCGGAATCTTTTTCTGTATATTTATCAGGATCTTTCACATCCACAATAGGTTGTAGACTTGGTCTCCACTTGGCCCATTCTGCTACATCAAATTCCAGATCACCAAATATGTCATCTAACATAATGACAGGGTTTGTGCAGACCGTTATGACCTCATTGAACTCCTCCGGTGACACCACCTGATACACTTGTCTCCCCTGAGTGTGCTGATCTTTGAGAGCCATGTAGGCTATTGTAGACTTCCCCTCTCCTGGCCTTCCTTTAATTGTCACCCATGTTGCTCCTCTGTCTAGCTTGTCTGTCACCTTCTGGAGGGCTTCTGTCTCCACCATGTCTTTGGTCCACGACTGTATCCTGGATTCCGTTCTTTCTGTAAAACAATTTTATAATTGACTACATTAAAAAATCTATGTTAAAGTTAACAATCTTATTATTATTATTTATTCTCAATTAAAGGAACATATTGTAGCCATCATCAAATAAGGTTGGACTCTGAGCATCCTTATGTTGACACGTGCCCTGCGAACACAAAATATTAAAATTATTATCCATCAAACTGAAACATGTTTTCTCACAGCATTTCTCATTTCTGTGTAAGTTATTGTTCTAAACGAGATCAGACAGTTTACGAAAGTAAGTAGATAACTCACTCCTGATCTTCTGTGCTGCAGTCAGTTGTTTCTCCTCTTCCTGGTTGGTCCGAGGTGCACCATCGTTCTGTGTTCCTCTAATGTTCTGGGTTCCGCCAAAGTTCAGATTCCTGGCGCCCCTGACTGTCACATCCTCAAAATTCTGCCGTACGTAGAAATTGTTGTACTGGACAACTGAAACAGAAACTGGGACTGAAGCCCTCACAGATGTCTCTATATTTGAACCTAGCTATCTCTTTAGACAACGATCATGAAGAGAGGCATACTACTTCATATTAGTCATTATATTTCCATTAAAGGTATCATTACGTTTTCTAAAATGGCTAACCTGAAATAGAGCAGAGCTTACAACTCTCTGATCAGTCCGGGTGAGATTGTATTGAGGCTGTATACGGTAACAGACACCCTGCCCAAAAATGTAGGCATAGATGCCACAGGATATTCGCTAAAAAGCGTCATTTGTAATTATCCTATTGTAAGTATTAGATATCTGAACCTTTAGTCATGTGTGTGTATCATGTAACAGCGCTCACCTGCGGGAGAATCCACAGGCACTGGTACCCCAGGTAGCCCTGATGACTGTATCTCTGATACAACAGATCCTGGTATTCTGGGTAGAAGAGTGGATGTGGACGCTGGTGTCAGTGCTGCTGTTCTGGGGACTTGTACAATCGTTGTTTCGGGGACTACACAAGACGTAGTTGTTGACAACTGTGCCTGACTTGTTGTCTGATCATCATCAGCAGCTGAAGCTTGCTGGAGTTGTGTCCCCTGCTGTGATGTTGACGCTATTTCTCCCTGTGGTTGCTGACAACATCCCACAATGTGTTGTGCTACTGCCGTGGTGTCTATGATGGGAACAAACATGGCTATTATCCATTCGGATTAGTTTCAGGAAAACCTTATGGTTACTCAGCCAATGGCCTGTTCTGACCAACATCTTTGTATCTTAGCATGTTGCAATAAAACACTGTTTTGGTTGTTTCCTAATTGGCGATGATTACAGTTGGATCGCAATGAAAATTTAGAGGACAGTTTTTGAAAAGAAATGTGATCAATTCATAGTTTAACTTCCGATGACATTATGGCAAGAGCGACTGGGAGTCAACTATGGATTTTGATTAAGATGATTACTTGACATGGCTATTCATATTGTGTTTCCATTATTGTGAGGCAGTATAGCCACAATGCTCTGTGGCTCACCTGAATTATGACGAAATAATTTAATGCCACTTCAGCTTGTTAGTGTTATATCACATGTATGAGTACATCTTCCCGAGGAAAGGGAGTTAACTGACTCTGAAGTCCAGTTTCCAACCTTTCAGTACTTGGGTACGATTACTGTGCTCAATCTAAGCGCCACCAGTGGCTAATACGAGTTATGTCCCTTCTATGACCCTCCTATTGACCAATCAGATTCTCATATCACTTGCATTTGCTTCGAACAAAATGGCTGCACCAGTTCTGATCAGTGAACAAGATTTATTGAAATAAAATGGGCCTTGCCTCGCGAAGTGCATCAAATCACCAAATCAAGTGAACACCTTGATTTAAAACTTCAACAGATTTGGAAAATATCTGTCGACGCCCAGTTGACGGTACACATCATGCACTTGTCAAAAATGTGCACGTTGAAATCAGTGTTGTTTACGAACTGCATATCAATTTCGTTATGCGTATTTAATTACAATGTGCCAGTCCAGCCAAAATATAACTCCATAATTCCAGTCTAGTTCGGCAAGGGTGGCAACTGGACTCAGCTTCCTCCCTTGCCTCGGGAAGATGATATGAGCATAAATAAATAGCCTGAAATGCACTGCTTTCTTTTATTTTGCATTGGCTCGTTTTGTAACTTGTGTTGGCTCTTTCTGAAACAACAGGAGCCAAGTGACCGAGGAAAAACTTGAACTTGTTGCTGTCAAGAGGGCATCATTACCTAGCCTTACTTCCTGTAAGCATACATACCTTTACCTACAAGTTGGTATGACTGTTGTTGAACCGTCTGGAATTTGACCTTTGTAGCACATGCTCCAAGTTGATACATATCTTCGATTTTATCTCCCTCTTCTTCATCTGTCAAGTCACGAAACAAACATTCGTCAGCACTCTCTTCATCAACATCTTTATTTCCTGCATCCTCCACAGTACTGCCTGATCCATCAGTGGTTCCAGGCGGGTTGTCCTCATCATTGCTTTTCCTCCTGCAATTTGCTGGTGTACATTCTTCACTGTCTGTGTCACTTTGACCTTTCTCCGTCTCGGCCATATTCAACCACTGAATATATCGTTCTAATCTCTATCTTTGAAGATTCTTTACTACTTCCTGTCTTTCATGAGGGTCTTCAATCTAAGTTGGCACCAAACTCGTCATCATCATCCTACAACAAAATCGCCTAATGTGTACAACGTCTGTCTGCAGGACAGACCCTACATTTTCCGCCACAGCACTGTAGCACACCTGGATAAGGAGTCAAGTCAATGTTACCTTTCAGTATTGTCGAAGTGCGAAGGTAAAATCAAGGTAAAAAGGAGCACATATGTTGAACCCCATTTACTACACATTTACCAGATTTCATTACATTTAGATAATGACCACGTAACTACCATAAAAAGCATTTCTCCAAATAGCCTCCGTCGTGTTTAAAAGATCCCACAGAGGCAGATGGAGGCGCCGTTGGACGCCATAGACACAACATATTAAAGCACACTTGAATTTCAGAAAAGCATATGAAGCAATATATTAAGGCTTACACATCGTTGTACCCCTTGTGACTGTAGGATTCAGTTTATAAACATGTCATCATTATATTTCGTGAGGTGCTGTTTCAGAAATACATTTCATGTTTACATGTCATATTAATCAAGGAGAAACAAGGTTTACTGTCAAAACAAACTCCCCGCAAAGAACAAGGGTCTACATGTTAAAACTTCACCAGTTGATTATAAAATAAGCATTAATCGTTACTTGATTTAAAGGTTCATTAATGTTATGTAAGTTCCTGTATGCAAATGTTGCAGGAGTACCGGTATCTTTGATGCAACAATGTCCTCACACTGAAACATGAAAGTTGGGCCTACCTTTAGAATTCTGGCGATCGTAGCTCCAATACATTACGATAGCCTGACGATAGACGGAGTGAGAAAAATCGTAGCCCCCATACATTAAGATAGACTTACTGTAGTCAGAGCGCGAAAATCGTAGCTCCAATACATAACAATAGCCTTACGAGAGTCGGAGTGAGAAAAATCGTAGCCCCTATACATTAAGATAGACTTACTGTAGTCAGAGCGCGAAAATCGTAGCTCCAATACATTACGATAGCCTTACGATAGTCGGAGCGCGAAAATCGTAGCTCCCATACATTAACATAGACTTACGACAGTCGTTGGGCTAAGATAGCTTTGTGAAACTTGACCCGGGGGCAACAAAGTTAACAAACACGTGACAAAACCCTATGATGTTCTATCCCTGTCATACCTAGATAACAGAAGATGAGTTTTCAAGTTCAGTGCCAACGGTCGGATGATGGACGCCAGCCATAACATAACCTCATTTTGATGATATTGAAAGGTTGTATAAGGAATCAGGTGTTTTGTCACAACTTAATCTAGTCCGTTTGGGCGTTGGCAGCTCACTTGTGTCTACCGTAATACGAGCTCTGTGGTGTGAGACGATGGCAAAATGAAACTTTGTACACTCTTTACAACATGAGGCGATCTTTGTGAGTGAAAGAAATCCATCCTTAAACACGTCGACGGTTATTTGTGTTTTGAAATCATGCATGATATCATTTCTGAGTATGCCCTCTCACATTCAGTTGAATGATTTACTTCTCGAGATCTCCAAAGCGAACCGAACAAACCGAATGTACTTGCTTCAGTCATGTTTTTTATTAGAGGCAAATTGAAGAAAAATCTCGCGTTTTTTCTTACAGATCAGTTTTAAAATACTTATTGCAAGCTCAATTAGACTAGAGGCCAGTGCATAGCGAGGCGTAGATTACAACATAAATGCTTCTTTTGTATGAAGCAATCATTCTTCAACCCAGAGTTCGATGCGGCCAGCCTAGTAGCTCTGTCACATCCTACACAGTCCATTCACCTGTTTTCCATTCATTTGTTTCATTTTGGATGAGTCTACAGATTTAGAAAAAGATATATCATGAACTGTTCCAATTTCATTAAGAATATATCCCAAAACGTTCAATATTATTTTCATTTGCGTATTTATCCTCCATGGATGTGCTGTCATCTGAACCATATTGGTCACCTATCAGTTATCGCCACTCTTCCCTTGTTCTTTCCACTGTTTTGATTCCCGATCGTCGCGTTATAACAGAATACAAATTTCTCGTCGACCAACTGTACGAGTTATAGCCATCGTCTTAACAACACGTGTCACGTGACCACCTGCACCGCCTCAGTTATACCAATTTCTTTTTCTATTTTATCAGGTGTCACACTCAATTTTTGTAGTCAATATAAATAATAACACATGCTTTTATCAATTTATCGGGAGACCGGAAAATAGAGGGACCGCGCTCTCAACAGTTTATCATAAACCATCAGCGCTACGGTCTGGCATGTAACTGATACACCCCGACACCCTGCTGTTAACCTCCCTGTGCCGCTGCAGATGTGCAATAGATGCGCAGACATTCACAACTGGCCATTCTCGTAACCACGTGAACAATATGACATAATATCCTGGGTTGATTCCCTTAGCTGTGATTTCTCCGACTGCGACCAGTGACAATCCAATAAAAGAAAGACAGATTGCAATGATTTTTATCTGATCTCTCATTAGTACATGTCAGTTGACTGCTAAGTTTACAAACCAATACAAAATACTGCACAGCAATTACAATGACAGTATGCAATAGAGTAGTAGTACAATATTCAATATCAGTATCAAATGCAAAATTTGATGGTGGTGATAATAACGTACCCCTATCTGCAACAGTGATCAAGTTTCCGAGATAGGCTCAGGCTGAACACAAGGGTGAAAAGTGATGTTCATATGGAAACTGGTCTTGATGTAATGTCAGATAATGTGTGATATAACTAGCTTCCAGCACATTCCACACAGTGCTTGACAAGTCCAGTGTCACTAGAACATCATATAATATTCTACATGTTTTGATAACGCTTGACATACATCCTATTCCGGAATTTTACAGATAATTTGAGCATCTAAATATAATAACTTCAACACCACTACTTAGAATACATAATATTACATTCCTGACAACTAAACATGGTCCAAATACAAAGCAATGACCTTCTACTGAATCTCAACAGAAACAATGTAATACAGTTACAATCATTGTCTAACAATCGGCTACATGGCTTCATAACACTCACAGCAGTCTTTTTGTTGTTTTGTTCTTCTTCTCAAAGAAACCATACTCACTCACTCACTCTTCTTATAAAACGAGCAAACATAATACGAGATGCGATCACGTGCGCGTCGGGGATTTGGAAATAACTGTTCGTTAGATACCATACGGTCACTTGGATGTGTAAAGCAATATTGTCATGCACCTCAGTGTTGCGGTTGTAGGATGTCTATATAATTATGTAAATCAATATGTAAGGCTTGCATTTACCCGGTTCTTCTTATTTCAGAATAAGTGCGTTTGCTTACAAACAAAAATCTGCTGATATAAGCCTACACCCGTGGGGTGATCGTTGTGACCTCTCATGGACTGTTTTGGATGAACAAAACCTTCCAAATGGCGTGCTGGTTTTCTTGGGAATTAGTCAGCAAAGAGACGGAGTCACAGGAGACTAATCACAATTTTATTTACAAGAACAATTAACAATTTACAATATCTTAGAAAATAGC